CATACATTCATATTTTATACAACTACGTCAATAAGCTAAATTTGAAAGTTCACTTTTTTTTGGAAAATATAGTTACATACATATCTACATATTAGGGTGAACCATAACCCTATCAGGACCATAAGCCGATAATTACAAAAATCATAAACTGTGACGCATCGAAAGCTAAATTATCAAATGCAGATATCAAACAAAAATTTGTATGTGACAAAATAATTTTCTCTTAAAAATTCTCATCAATTTGAACTAAAACAAATTTTCTTTCCAGTTCTTTGTAGAAAAAATTTAATTATCTAATCTAATATATTTAATCTAAATTTGGTAAATTTTGACAGTTATTATTTTTCCATTACGACTTTTTTGTAAAATATCTTAAATATTTTTTCGATAAAATTATTGTTTTCGTATTATCTTTTTTTTAGTTTTCCCAAAGGAAACAATTTTTACCGCAAAAATAGTTGTTTTCTCCCAAAAACTCAATGTTTCTATTTTTTGGAATTTTTTTTTTTAATTTTTTTCTTTATATAAAATTTTTTCCTGAACTATGTTTCTTCCATAAAATTAATTTCTTTTGAGAAAATTTCTTAACAATTTTTTCTAAAAAAAAAACCAGTCAAAAAAGAAAAAATATTATTATTTCCCCTAAAGTAACTTTTCCCTTAATATGAATTTTTCCTAAAAAAAACTTAAATTTTTTATCGTAATTTTTCCCGAAAGAGATAATTTTTACCACAAAAATAGTTCCGTTTTCAAAATAAAACTTTGTTTCTACTGTTTTGTAATATTTTAAAAATTTTGTTTCTTACAAACAATGTTCTCCTAAACTATGTTTTTTTCCATAAAAGTAAAAAAAAAATTAAAAGTTTTATCCTAAATATAAATATTTTAAGTTTTACTCCCGTTATTTCACGAAAGAAACAATTTTTACCACAAAAATAGTTTTGTTTTAAAAAAAACTTTGTTTCTACTGTTTGGTAGTTTTTTAAACATTTTTTTTCTTACAAACAATGTTCTCCTAAACTATGTTTTTCCCGTAAAGGTACTTTTTCCTACAGAAAATTTCATACAGTCCATTTTTTTCTAAAAAATTTAAATTTTCAAATAATTCTTTTTTGAAAAATTTTTGTTATAATATGAGGCACATTCTGAATCCAAAAAATATAAAGCCACTACAATTACGCACCATTTACTCATGATTAGAGTAACATTTTGAATATATATTTCCTTTGGTCCAGAAAGGGTTAAAAAAATTTAACATCTAAATTTTATTTTGTTTTACATAGAAATGAAGACATAATTTTGAAGGATCGTTACCGGTGTTTGAGAAAATTTATTTTTTTTTTAATCTCGAAAATTCTATAAAATTTTAACTTTGACGAGCTATAAACGCAGTAAGTTTTGTTCCGATCAGTTTGATTGTCTGTGTTTTGTGTTGACCGGACATGTAAGTTTAGTCATGAATGATATTAAACCCCAAAAAAGCCAATAATTCTACTAACTATCTCAGAAAACTCCCACGGGCACATTTAAAAAATGCCTTTTGAGCTGAGGAAGTCAAACTCTTCCCTATACATGAGATTGTTGGTATTTTTTCAACATAAGAAAAAATGCTCCACTCCGTGCAAAACGTAAACAAATGTTATCAAGTTATCAAATTGAAATTTTTAGAAAATTTTTAAAATTTTAATGGATGTCTTTATTTTGTACGTAGAACAATATAAAAGGTTGTCCCACACAAAATTTAAATATTGATATTTATATATTTTTTGGAAGGACCAACCTAATACATATGTAAGTATGTACATACATACAAACCAGCCCGTCGGTAATGAGGTTTCTCGAAGAACTCTGCAAATATCTGTTGCAGGTGATGAAACGTCAGTCACGATAGCGCCATGACAGTTTCAATGGAGCAAACAAATTTCTTTATTGGTTAAATGTGGTTGTGTAAATTTGTTTGTTGAGTGTATGGCGATGATATGTATATGTCTGCAATCCTGCCAATTACACTCATGTGTGTTGTTGGCAGCTTTAGTTGTAAATCAGTTGTTTTATTGGCAAGATGTGGAAAATCGCAAATAAAGCGGTAGATAAAATACAAAACTAATTAACATATAATTTTAGTATTATTTTATTGCAATGTAAATAATTGTATTATACACGAATTTCGAGTGTTTGGCTTATAAATTCCAAATATAAAATAAAATATTGTTGTAAATACACAATTCGCATCTAATTTGCATTCAAGGGAACAATAAAATGGTTTATGTAATTCACTCAATGCATACATAAATATGTACATAGTATCTATTTCTGTAGTAACTGTTTATTTAAAATCTTTATACATTTTTGGACATTACTACCATGCGATGCAAATCACAAGAAAAAAAATGTTAATGAATAAAAAAAGAAACACAAATTTAAACAAAAAAACAACAAAAAAATAAAATGAAAAATAATAATTTTTATTAAACGAAATGAATTAAAATGAAATGGAATGCATACATTTTTTAAATTTTTTTGCTGAACTTTGAGTACAAACTCCGCACGAAGCAGAAGGATTCGATATTTATTAAAAGATGTCGTATTATTTTGGCGTAATCGGATTTTCGATGCCTCTATTGGATTAACTAAAAATTAGCCTTGCAAACAAAAATATTTTAAATTTATATAAAGCGATCGGAAAATTTAAAACATTTAACTAACTCGCTCTTTGAGGAAGAAACTTTTAAAATCGTATATTGAACATTCTGGAAAGGATCGGTGTCCGGAAGAACGTCACAACTCAACAAATTAAAAATGCGAAAAAGGTGGCTTTAAAGTTTTTGCCAACTTTATCCACTTGAACAAAAATATTTTTTTACTAACAAGTATAACCAGTGGCAAATTTAGGGTGGGGAGACCCAGGCTGCGGAGTTTAAGGGGTGGCGCACCGAAATATAAACGGCGGTGCAAGCATCCGCTTCTCTTAATCAATTACATAATTTGAATGCTTATTTTTATCGATCGAAATAAAAACTAAATTTGGTGTATTTGCTTTTTATCGCTTGTAACTTAAATCGCGGTAACTTGGTTCTTGTTGTCATATAAACTCAGTAATTTTTTTCAAACCACAAACGCGACGATGGCGTATTAAAGGTAGCCCGGGTGAGGAGGCTGTTAGTGTACCAATAGGTGGTCCATGCTTATATATATCTATAAAGGAAAGAATTCAAAGGAAGCTTTTAAGTCCAAGACAAACACGGCGATCTAGCGACCGAAGTCCAGAGCTTGCTAAAATTATTGATAGAACACTTTCTCATTCTGCTAAATTTCACTAAAACAATTACAGAAGATGAGCCTGTGCTCAGGAGATACTTTGCTGCTGGATAATTTTGTCGGCTCAGTACGAGTACACACCTTTTGACTGATCGGAACCGGCTTGTTCTACCTTTTGAAAGTTTGATATGGAGGTCAGGCGAGAGGAGGGTCTAAGGTTGAACAATGTCAAGGCGAAGTATCGGTCGAACGAATGGACGCAAGTGCTCCAGCGCTGAAATGATTCGATACGGCACCCGCTTGTGGTAGCATAGGAAGATGAAGGCCTTATTGGCGTTGGAAATACCAAGATGGATACGGAATTGACTTAACTTAGAATTTCCAATTGGCGCGAGGTGGCACAGAAAAGAAACGACTTGCGTGCTTTGTTGGATTGTCGAAAATCTCATAGGCTGTTTAAATGCCAAAACCACTGATGAAGCAAAATTGGCAGATTAAAGTCATGATGAATTCTTTTACGGAGTGCAAAAGAAGGGCTGGCGGCCACTTCTGCTTTTTTTTTTGTTGGAGCAAGACGTTCTTCCAGAAAATAAGCGACATGTATAGTAGTATTTTCTTTTAAACCTTTTCTAGAACTGAAAATACATGTAAAAATGTGAAATGTGTGTGTGAAATGTATGTTTTTTTAAGAGGTCGATAATACGCCTGTAATATATTATCGTTTTCTTTTAAGTGCAAGAGCCCGCGCATCTCTCCAAACTGTAACAAGGCATATCAGTCAAGACAATACGTATTCTGATACGAATTAATATTAAATAATTAATACGGAAACGCAAATCACATGGTCGGACAACTATTGTAGCAGTCCTATAGTATAGAGTTGCCCCTCAAGTTATCCTTTTTTCAACAAATATATAGATATATTTCTTGGTTATTTCGCTGGTCTACAAACAGAAGATGGCAAGAACAACTTTAGAATCCTTCAAAAGTTTTCCCAGATATTTCAAGGACTAATGTATTTTGGCACCATCACTTTTACGCACCATGAATTTTTTTTGGTGCTACTGTGGTGACTAATCAAATAATTTTGCGCAGATTGTTATGTTAGATTGAATCAAAAGAATAACTTTAAATGGATGTACTTAAGTGTTAGAATTTACTATCAAACGATATCCAATCACGAATAATGTACATTGACGTCACCATCATCACCAGTTTGAGAACTGTATAAACTGAAAAGTGATTACGCCTATGGCCCTTTAAATCTAGTACAATGTTTTACACTTATTCACTTTAATGCGTTAGCGAAATACTGAAAATGTTTATGTATGAGATATCACATTTTATGACCTTTAATCTGATATATTTACCTTTTTTTAATCGGTTAACGTATTCCATAGATATTAGAAACCCAAGTTATATTTTCAGTATAAGCTTTATTTTAACATTTTGTGGCCAATTACAGTTTTCTTAGTCGTAAAACAACATAATGTCACTATTACAATACGATCAAATGACTTTTATTTTTACCCATACAAAATCGACCCAGCCTAAGTATAGTTGAAGAATTAATTAAAGTAATAAAGAAAAATAACTCTAACTTATGCTAACTAAATTTTGCAAAAAAAAATCTTTTTATTAAAATAACAACACAAACGCTTTTAATAACAACTGTAAATATATGTACATATATGTATTTAGCGTTTTGGATTTAATTGAATCACAAAATACCGACATCTATTATGACCACCGCTGTTAACGAAAATGATGGTCAAATGGATGAGGCGAATAGTGAAGAGAGTACGCCGACAGGGCCACACATTTTGCAGGTAACTGGGATCCATAAAGAGACAAAAGGTTAGCAAAGGCCAAAGCATGTGGGCTTGTATCTATTTTTATAATGAAATGATGTAGGAGTTCACACCTTCCTGGTTATTCGATTATTATTTTATTGTTTCACAGTGTAAAAAAAAAAAATAGTGAGCCCGCGTGGCGTTAAAACAAAAAAAAATATTGAATTTAAAAAACGTAAAAAATATTGCAAATCTTAGTCCGAGTTATAAGCGACCTGAGCGCCATATTTCATCTGAAACGATGCAGCCCTTTCTGAGTGAAGAGAGGTCTCGCAAAGTGCAGGTTTTTAATTTGATCAAATTTCAAATCACCTTATACCGATAAAAAAAGAGTTCTTAATTAGATGACCTCCCATTCGAAAGAACTGTGCAAATTTAATGACTATCACAAAAAATGCTTCTGGTATAATATACATGCATATGTACTTAGTAAGATCGATATGGCTTTTCGAAGATGGTAAGCCTAATCAAAGATAAATCATAAATCTCTTTCGATTGACATCCATATCTTAATATTTCATAAAACTTGTGTATGAGTAAACTAAATTCGACTTTTCAAACAGGTGGCAACACTCTTCAAAAGTATTTTCAAACTAAAATCATCTAAAATCTCTTTCGTCTGACAATGCGATACAATTGTATTTCAATAAACTGATGAACTAAGTCAAATTTGATTGTTAAAACACGTGGCAACTCTCCTTAATAAAGGTCAGGAATAAAGAGTTTTCAAACCCCTTTCGACTGATACCAATATTTTAATAATTCATTTAAATTAGTAAATATTTTGAATTAAATTTTTTAAACCATCCATGACCTCAAAAATATTCTTGCCATTCAAACTAAAGATTTCTTAACATTCTTTCGTTTTACATCCATATTTAGATATTTCATATAACTTGTGTATAAGTTAGCTAAATTCGACATTTCAAGCACGTGGCAACCCTCTTCAAAATATTTTAAAACCACTACCTTCTAAAAACCCTTTTGTTTGTCACCCATATTGTGATACATATTTCTCTTTCCCAATTCCCCTAATTAAAATTGAATTTGATTTTAAAACAGGTGGCAACCCTTCTATAGTTAAGTTAAGAAACCAAGCTTTTCAGAACCATTTCGATTGATACCCTATTTGTAATAATTGATTTATTTTTTTAAATAATTTGAATAAAATTTTTTAAAGGGTGGCAACTCTTTTCAAAAAAGGAATACCTTATTGCGCATCTGCAGTCCAAGCCTTTTAGTTTGACACCTGATTTTGGAAAATCGAACGAACGGTGCTTTTATGAGGGCATTGGCTATTAAATATTTGAAATTTGCTTGTTCAAGAGGTGGCAACTCTTTTAGAAGAAATAAATTTGAAAATCGAGCGAACGGTGCAGATCTTTTGTCATGAACAAAAAATCCCTTCGCGCATTATGTACACATATATGACCATGCAATAACCAGGAAGATATGACTACCTGCATTACATTTTGTTTTCAATATTTTTCTTAAGCTCCATTAGAAATAAATAAATAAATTGCATGTAAGTATTCTAAAATTACATATCTTCAATTCTATAGGCGTATATATTTTGCACATATTTTTCGATAGGCTACTCAAACAATTATTTTTAGTAATTTTGAAATATATATGTTTGTTACACTTTCTTTTTTGTAATTTGGTTAGTAACAAATATTTTATACAAACATAGACTAACGCATTTAACTTCTCTTAGATTAAAACAGCTTCCAAATCTAATCTCAGAGATGGCGGCGGTGATGCAGATGACTTGGATGCATGGATTAAATCGCGGCAACTACTCAAGCCCGACGATCAATTGGAACTCACTGAGGCTGAATTGGGTGAGGAGATAACCAAAGTGCTAACACCAACCAATACAAATGTTGTGCACAATTTGGTGGTGTACAGCTTCAAGGACAGTTCCTTTGTGCAAGTAAGTGTGATGCCTTGCAATATTATTTTGTGTTGACTGCACTTTTATTAAGTGATAGTTTCGTTGAATTACAAAGATGGCTCAAAGTGGGCCCAATCGGGTACATCAAGGATTTCATTAATAAAGCTTAATAAATGTGTAGTGCTGACACCTGCAAAACAAACAAGAGTTTCCTGAAAAGGCTTGAAAAGGTGGTAGCGAAATTTCTTTTCAGGCAGTGAGCTATGAGCACTGGCAGGACTGATTACGGGGCACAATTCATGGCGACGATATATGGTGACCATCCATGGCCATTATCGACCATCCACTGTGTACATATTGTTAGGAAGGTGGCTGTAGTACAGAAAAAATTCTCTCTCGCTGTCCGGCTTTTGGCAGATTTGAACGGTACATTTTTGAGTCGGATGTTTCCAGAATGGACTACATTGCTACCACATTCTCTTTCCCTAATCAAACTGCTTAGATTCATAAAAGTGGTATGTTTGAAGAGGAGCAGTGAGTTGCCATCCCACCTGTATTTTCCCATCCTTTAAATTTTCTCCCTAGACCTTAAGTACAGTGGGAAATACTGCTTTTAAATTTTGTTTTTGGGTTTTTTTCGGTCATACACTATTCCATTCCATTCCAAGTCTTCAGATTTAGTTTTCCTCTGCAGTGCCTCCAAATCATAGCTAATATAATATAAGTATATGAGTATTAAATTAAGGAAGCATTGAGGGAACCAAAAATAATATTATGTTGGATATTTGCATTTTTTTTTTAAGGAAGTGAAAAGAGTTCTTTGAAATTGTTATTCTTAAACGTCCTTTAAGATTTCCGATGGACTTAAATACTCCTTAAAATCATTTTTAGCTACCGATAGCTGGAAACACCGTAACGCTGTTGGAAATGTATGGAAGTGCCTTACATATAGATTCAGAAGAGGCAAAAATACAAATGGAGGAGATGGGCGAAATTGGTACAAATGTTTACCTGCATACATACAATCTATGGTATTAGGTATTTCATTTCCAATAAAAATTTTTCTAGGCTACCCATTACCCACAACTGCCGATGCTTTCGCCAACGAGGAAGAGATGCAACAACCACCACCGAAGGGAGAGGAAGATGAAGAGGAGGAGGGTGAGGAGAAGGCAGGAACGCAACCAACAAAGGAAGTTGAAGAAGAAATGGGTGATGAAGAGGCCGAAGCAGAAGGTGAAGAGGAAGAGGCTGTTGAAGAAGGAGGCGCAGAAGCTGAAGCAGCAACAGCCGACGATGGTGGAGGGCCTGCAGGTAAAACAAAGAATTAGAAAAAAAATATGTTGTTGGAATTTAAACCATTAAAAACGATTTAACTGTATCCTGCAGAGGCACCAGCAACAGCGCCAGCACCAGGTGGTCGTAAACGAAAATTATTAAATCAATTTAATTTTTGTGAGCGTTCTGCGCTGACCTACACTAATCCAAGAAGGGTGAGCATTATTTCTTGTAATTTTCTGAATATTTTTAAGCTTTAAGTGCTTTCAAAATAATTTAGAATGTCGATACACAAACCATACCGCCACCACGTTCCCAATATGGCGCCAATGTATTGCAATGGAATATTTACGATAGCTATGCGGAGGACTTTGAACAACAGCAAAAAGAGAAGGAAAAGAAAGACGAGAAGAAACAACGGAAAGATGTTGCATTGAAAAAATTGGATAAGGCGGCACAGGCTGAGGTGCTCAATAAGAAATATCTCAAGGCGTGGCAGATTTTAGAACGTATGATTAACCAAAATATCTATGAAGACATTGCCAACGATTATCGTTACTGGGAAGATCCAGCTGATGAATTCAGAGAGCAGGAGGGCACGCTGCTGCCGCTTTGGAAATTCAACTATGATCGCATACGTAAATTGAGCATTACCGATCTGCTGTTCAATCCGAAGTACTACGATCTATTTGCAGTTTGTTATGGTTCGCGTATGTATGACGAAAAGAAAATACTAACAATCAAATTTACAAAAAATATAGAAGACCTTAACTGCTTTATATATCGAAAATTTTTATGCGAATTTCACTCTACAAAGCTCTTTAAAGTTATTTCATTTTTTTATGAATAAGGCCATTAGAATTTATTGACAGAAGACAACTTTTGTTTTTTTTTACCCACAGATGAGTTCATGAAACAACCGAATGAGGGCGCCATTTGCTTTTTCACAGTCAAGAATCCATCTTATCCAGATTATATAAGTACCTGTCGTATTTATATTAAGCATTTTATATGCGCTTACAAAGTTTTTTTTTAATTATTTTCAATTCTGCAGTATCGACCGAGAGTGGTGTCATGTGTTGCGATATACATCCGACTTATCCGTTTTTAGTGGCAATCGGTGCGTTGACCGCATATCGATTTTCTAAATGTTTTAATTTTAATTTATATGTAGGGATGTACGATGGCAGTGTGGCAGTATACAACTTGAGAGAAAACTACGAAAAACCACTGTACTTATCTGTGGGCGTTCACAATAAACATGCAGAATGCGCGTGGGAGGTACGTAGTATTTGAAATAAATAAACATGTCTAAATTACTCGGCTTGACAATATTTATTATTATAAGCGGTTGCCCTCCTTTTGCCCATTGGCACGTGTGGTTTACGTGCGGCATGACGTGCGGAACTTTACTTAAATTTTTGCCCCGAACCACGAAAGACAGGAATTTGTTTAGGGTAAAGGAGCTGGTAGTATTGCTCAACGGGCTCGCTGAAATCCGACTAATTCTTCGGCGGCGGTACTTAATGAGCGGGAAATGTGGTTCCACTGCTCGCATATGTCGGTTTGTTGAACAGTGCTCTCTAAGATCAGGTTTGAGAGGCGAGTAGCGAAAGCGCTTTCCGACGTTAATCGTTCCTCGCATATTTGGGCGCACATTTTTTTGCTGCACAACGGCGGGTGGTATCTTGGCTGCAACAAGATAGTGGTCGGAGTCGATGTTTGAGCCTCGGAGTGTACGTACATCCAAAACACTGGAAGCATGCCTTCCGTCTATCACAACCTGATCAATTTGGTTTCTCGTTTTTCGATCCGGAGACAGCACGTAGCTTGATGAATCTTTTTATGCTTGAACCCAGTACTGCATACTACCATGTTTCAGGCCCCGACGAAGTCGATCAGCCTCAGTCCGTTGTCGGACGTTTCGTCGTGGAAGCTGAATTTTCCGCCGGTGCTTCCAAATATCCCTTCCCGAAATATATAGTTAACTGTAAATTTCGATTTAACTCGTTACTGTGAAAATGACCCTAAACATGTACACACAGTCTAACGATTGGAAGTGCGCACCTCTAACCACTCAGCCACAGCAGCCGACCTATCCTAACCTAAATAAATAAAATCTGACCATGTTTCAAACAGTAGGTCACCTAAATCAGGTTCTACTCTTAAATTTTCTAAATTTTAGTGTAAGCGACCACAACACACCATCGACTCTTCGCTAATTGAGCTAATAAAAAAATGCGGTGCTACAACCCATAAATACATATATACATACAAAATCTTCTCCTGGTTTCTTGCATTTCAGATTAAATGGGGTCCCGACATGGCGGATGGTGAAATCAATTTCTATTCTGTCTCCACTGATGGTCGTGTCTTCAATTGGGTACTAATGCAAAATGATTTCATGATCACTACAATAACAACACTCTTCCTCACCAATGGCATTGTCGAGGGGCCCGATGGCACTGAAGTGCAGTTGCGTAGCTGTGGCGCTTGCATGAAATTCCATCCGACAAATCCTGAAATCTATCTGATCGGCACCGAGGAGGGTTTGATCTACAAATGCAGCATAGCGTACAGTTCAAAATATTTGATGACCTATAATGCACATCATCTCACTGTCTATCGCATCGATTTCAATCGCTTCAATTCGAATATATTCATTTCGTGTAGCGGTGATTGGCGCGTCAAAGTGTGGGAAGATATGCGACCCGAGCCACTGTTCATATTCGATTTGGGCTCCTCTGTGGGCGATGTAAAGTGGGCACCATTCTCGAGTACCGTCTTTGCGGCTTGCACCACTGAGGGCAAGGTGTTCGTCTTCGATTTGAATGTGAACAAATATAAGCCGATTTGTGTGCAAGCGGTGGTGCCGAAGAGAAAGAATAAATTGACGCGACTCGCTTTCAATGAGAATTTACCATTCATTATTGTCGGCGATGACAAGTAAGTGTGAAAAGAGAAATCTATATACATATCTGCTATCTAACCGTTTGAAAAATTTGTGTTTTTACATATTTATTTCGATTACAGGAGTACGGTTACTTCTTTGAAATTATCACCCAATTTGCGGCTAATGGTTAAACCGCCTAAAAAGCAGCAATATCTGGATCAAAATACGCTGCAGGTACAAAAGTTGGACAAATTGCTGTCGCTGGTGCGCGAGTTGCCCAGCGATATGGTGGTGCCGGACACACCTACAACGACGAAGAGTTAAAGTAAGAGAGCGTGCTGTGCAGTTATTTCATTTTATTTATAAATACCTTAGTTTCTTTTAGTTATTCAAAAACTTTAGATACATATTCTTTAAAATTTCTTGCCGAGTCAAAGAAATTCCTTACGAAACCTTTGTACTGATCTATTTTACATACATACATACCTGTGTTTACAAAATAGGAATAACTTAAAATTTTGTTCACAAATAAAACAAATAAGCTGTGCTTTTTTAGAAATCAAATAATTTATTTTTTATTAATTTGTGTTTGTGTAAATTTTTAATATTTATTATTTAGAGGTGAGCATTACAGTTTGACACTGAAATTTATTTTATTCGAATATTCTGCTGTATGGAGATCTAACGGCATGTATTCATATACAAATGTTAAGAGTGTTTGTTTATACATATTTACTTGCTATTTATTTGCTCGGTAATACATATGGGTCATTCTATGCAAAATTTACACCTCAATATTATTGAGTTGGTGTGAAATATTTTTTTTTCGAAAAAAAGAGACGAGCATTTTTTTATTTTATCATCATTATTTGATATTCGGAAATCTGGAAAAAATTCCGAAATTTTGAACTCACCAAGAACATTTTTGTTTTATTTTCTGTAATTAATTAACTATTTGTCTGAAAAAAATCAGTTAAGTAATCAAAATGTGCGTAACTACCCCAACTTTGCATTAGAGTGTGAGATAAATTTAAATAAATAATAAATAAAATAAAAAATTTTATTTTTTTAATCTTTTTTTTATTAATTATAAACTGTTGCATTTTTTTTTTCAATCTAAATATGTAGTTGTAAAACTTTATGGAGTACGTTGAAATAGTTTATTAACTGCAAGAAAATTTAAAAAAATATACTTATTTGTGAGTTACGAATTTCGGAATTTTTTTTTTCGATATTTTCGTATATCTTGATGAAATAAAAAATAGGTGTCTTCTATTTTTCGTTAAAGGATGTAAAAAAAAAAAATATATTTCACACCAAAAAAAGTATTGAGTTGTAAATTTTGTATGGAATGACCCATAGGTATCTACGTTCATACATATGATTTTATATACACTTATATTTCATAATTTTTAATAAATTTGTGTATGAATGTTGTAAGTGTTGTATTTTTAACAATGTAGTGCATATGTAAACATCGAACTAAGTTTCATTACATTTATAGAACTTCTTCGAATCAAAAATATATCAAGAGCATTAAAAAACATTAAAAATATGCTTAGTTTTAACTTATTAATTTTAGAAAATCAACAACTTTATATTTTTCTTGGATATATGCATTTTCTTAAATGCTGTCAGTTAATGTTTATAAATAGTTAGCAAAACAAAATCCTTGAAGCCGTAGCGCGGAGTACAAGTTTACATGCAGTACAGTTATCACATATGTTATGAATGTTATGAGTATCTATTTATGTCTGTAGTAGTTATGACGCCTCTACATGTATGTATATGCTTTTATGACTAATATGTATATTGGAGTGGTCCTGAAAATATAAACATCTGCTGTTCTAGTTTTTATTCCGAAATCAGAAAAAAAATTGCGTAAAATGTCGAATGAAATTTCGAAGTTTAACTTCAGAATCGTTATAATTTGGCTCTCAAAGGACCTAGAGTGTTCTACCTCAAATGAAAGGTCTTGAATAGCATTAAAATGCACTTGTTGTTCGAGTAAAATTGCATGCAAATAAAAAACGATGCAATAAATAATGCATTCTTAAAAATATACCTCTGTTTTTTATCAATAAATATTTAGAGGTTATATTTTTTCGATGTAGAAAAATCGTATGGTGTGGGGGCATTACTGTTGTTATTGGTTGTTGTGATTGACTTTACATAATTTTTAAAAATTAAATTTTAGTAGGTTGATTTAAAAAATTTTATTTTTGCTGGCCTTGCTAGGCCTTTGCTTCCTTATAAAAGAAATTGTCGAGCATAAATTATAAGAAAGAAAATGCACAACACTGTCAGCAAAAAAAAAATTATTAAAAAACAGAGCGATGTCTTAAAATTTGCACTTTAATCTACTAAAATTAAAAGGGGCTAGAAAACTGCGTACCTAAAAAAATGTTTGAAATTTTTGGGCATATGTACTTGTCAAAGTTTGTTGAATTTTTGTACGAAGTTTTAAATGTGGATTTATGTGGTGCTGGTTATGTAATGGGCCAGACTTTTATACAAAAAATATAACATTAAATAAACAAAAGAAAAAATAGAAAAATCTTGTCCAAATTTCTCTTAAATTAATCAGCTAAAAACAAGGGCATATAAAAAAGTGGAAATCCTATTCGAAAAAATAAACCCTACTTTCACATCTGTTAGCCAATCCTCTTCGTTTGGCGCCTTATATTTGAAAATGGGGCGAATGGTGTAAATATCATAATTTTATAAGCAGATGGCAACCCTATTAAAAAATATAAGCTTACTACATACATATAACCAGCTTATATCTAGAGGCCAAGGCTCATTTTGGAAAATCGAATGAATTGTCTTCGCAATCATTCACTTATGAACGAGAACGACAGCAGTGAACCTTCGCGAACGTATCGATGCAACTTACATATAGTAGCTACATATAGGAATGCACGCTATTTGGTCCTCCAATACATACACGTACGAACAACAGCGGAAATTTTTTCTAACTAACATTCGGGAACGCGAACGATCTGGACATATTTTATGCTTCTCGTACGCGAACGAGAATCAATAGAGAATATTGGTACGTTCACGTTCGCGTACAAAGGTGAGTGAATATTTCCGAACCCTGACATTAGCTTTCAAAACCATTTTGTTTCATATAAGAATGCTGCTTTTGTCGAAAAGGCTACGATTATTCGCATGGAGTATTCAAAAAGCACACTCTGCATTTGTAAACAATATATAATATAATAAAATAAAATGTCTATCAAACTTGGGTGTAAAAAATTTTTGATTCTTATATACAAATGTTGGGGAGCGGACCGCGTTTTTCTGCCGGAAAGACCAATAAAGATCATTTTAATTTCATTGCTAATTTGCAATACTCGTATTTCATTTGTTGCAACAAAAAAATTAATGGCTCGCTATTTCTACTCTGCGGTGGCAATTAAAGTTTGCTGCATAATTTATATAAATATCTGGTGTTCTCTAAAATTTTGCTTAAATAAAATTAGCTACTATTTACTATGTATATTCATGTTGGATATTATTATTAGTTTCTATTGAAATGTATACTCATATTTTGTTTGCTATCTTAACAACTTGATTTAGTTTGATCTTATTTATATTTATCTCTTTTGTATGTTGAATTTAAACGACGTGCACGTCTTACATCACTAAACACTATTTTATTTTTTTATGAAATCTTTATGTTTAATTATATTTTTGATTGGTATTTTAATAAAAATATGTAGTTAGTATTAAAGAAAAAAAATCGGTTTGTTTTAGTTAAATTTTTTAGTTTCAAACAAAATAAATTTTGAACTGTCACCACTTTGAAAAATGTTTTATGTTTTAAATTGTAAGTTGCTGTTTAATTTTATTTCCCTATATGTGGCTTGTCGGTCGAAATATTTGGTTTGGCTTTTGATTTAAGCAATGTATGTATGTATATGCATATATAAATTAATTTATGCTCTCTAGTTACGTGTTATATACAATTCCAGCTAGTTTCTATTCTAATCGTCCTCTGCAAGGCTGAAAATCTAATCATTTGTCGTTTTTATTTATTCAAAACTCTTGGGCCTCGTATCCTCCTCAAATGTAGTGAAAGTCTTATGGCCACATTTCAAGAATGCTCAGAAGTGAAAACAGGATATATACTTTAGGCAATTCAAAGACAAAACATTTATTTGTGAAATAACCAAAAAAGTATGAATAATTTTTAAATTGACAAAATTGCATCCCTAGTTTTTAATGGCAAAAAAATGTATGTCAAGTTTTTTATATATCACAACTTTTTGACGTTTTATTTCTTCCCGTCTTTTATCAATAAAAGGTAAATTTCCCAAGTCCACAAAAAAAGAGAAAATTCTAAAATGCCAAAATAATACGAAATTTTTAATGAACATCGAATGCTCCCGATTCGTATGGAGGGTTGATTTGCTTTAAACACGCAAAATGTTGTATTCAAAGTTTCGCAAAATATTTGAAGAAAACGGTTATAAGCAGTTATTTTGCTCTCCTATAACATTCAAAAAAAAGTGGACTGAGCAACTTTTCACTCTAAGCTAAAGATATCCAGTTTTTAAATGACTCGAAGTTTATGTCCAGAATCTAAATTTCCAAAAAAATTTGTTTAGTTTTTAAATTATCAAAAATCTGTTCCCAGTTTTGAATGAACACAATTTTATTTCTATATTGTAAATTACCAAAAAAGTTATTTCTAGATGTTAAAGTAACAAACATTTATATTCCATAAATTTATGTATATCCACTTTTGAAATTACCATAAATGCATCTCTAGTTTTTAAATGAACAAAAATGCATAACACTTTTATGTGACCAAATTTATGGCCACTTTTTTAACGACCAAAAATGTGTGGCCAGTTTCGAAGTTAACAAAAATGTATCTGGATTTTTTTAACGACCAAAAATTAATGACACAATTTCTACCAAAATTTTTTTAATTACCAAAATATATGTATGTTCCGTTTATGCACAGTTTTTAAATTACCAGTGCCCAGTTTTATGTGACCAAAATTGTATGTCCACATTTTGAATTATCAAAAACTTATCTACATTTTTCAGAGTGCCAAGACTCCGCTGCTTTTATATTACCAAAAAAATAAGTCGGGTTTCTTAAACTACCAAAGATTCAATCAACTTTTTGCGTTCAATGGTATTTAAACTACCAGAATTTATATCCCGTTATAAAATTCTCAAAATTTATGTATTGTGCTTAGGTTACTCAAAAACCTATGGCCAATTTTAAATTACCATAAATTTATAACCAGTTTTGAAATTACCAAAAAAAATTTAAGTCCGGTTTTTAAATGGGCAATAATTTATGACCAGTTTTTATGTATCAAGAATTTATGCCCACTTTTTTAATAATCAAAACTTTTTGTCCTGTTATGAAATTACCAAAAACTTATTTCTAGTTTTTAAACCACCTGTAATGAATGCTAAAAGTAGATAAAGAAAAATTCAACTACCAAAAATTGCAAAAAAAAATTTAAAATCCCAAAATATATCTATGTACCGTTTTACAAACTTATCTCTAACTTTTTTAACGGCAAAAATAAATGTCAAAATTTAAATGACCATAAATTAAACTACCAAAATCAAAATTACCGACATAAATGTATGCCCAGCTTTTAAGTTTACAAATGAATAAAAATTTATGTCTAGTTTACAAATTATGTACATATATCCCGTTCCCTAAAGTTATAACCAGAATTAAGACCGCTAAAAATGTATAACCAGTTTTAAAATACCATACATTTTTGAATAATGAAAATTTATGTCCAATTTTTATATATGATCATATCTCAAAATTTTATGGCCAATTTTAAACTCACCAAAAATCATACATATTTAATCTTCATATAACCAAAAACATATGCCCAATTTTAAGTGAGCGAAGATTTTTGTCCAGCTTCTAAATTACCAAAAAATTATGTACAGTTTTCAGAGTGCCAAAAAACTATGTGATGCTTTCGGATAACCAAAAAAATATGTCGGATTTTTGTTTAAATTACCAAAAATTATATCCAGTTTTTAGGTTCAAGCACTCATTTTGTTGTATCAATGCATTTTCCTACCACATTGGTCCTTCTTTCTTTCTTCAATCCCTTTTTAAAATACTTTTTTTTTTTATAGACTAACATTGCTCCATTAACTGGACCCACGGCCTCATACACTCTATTTCACATTTTTGAAATCCAAAAACTCGCGCACATTATTGGGGCACATGACATTTTTACCCAGAAAGAGCACCGTGGACATTGGATGCAGGTAGTCTGCGGAGAACTCTTTTGCTTTCCAGCCAAAAAATCCACTTGGCCTCACTTCATTGCCGTTAATTTCGAACGGCAGCAGATTCACGCCAATCTGATTAATTTTTGAAAATTGTACTTTAAAGTAATGTCCATCGGTCGCCTTGATCCAATAAAAGCCCTCATTGTCCACATATGGTTTATTTTGGGACTTCTTCATAGCATTCGAACGTTCTAGATCGTTTACATTGAAACTAATATCGATTTCGTACGCATCCGGATGCAAACGATTCGTTTCGATAGCTGTCTTCAAAGCTTGGTTATCCAACCAGTAGCGGATGCCGACATTTTCGAATTCTTCGAGCACATGATTGAATGTGGTCTTGAGTTTGTCAAGGCAACACGGTGGCGTATGCTTGTTCAAATAAATGTAGAAGGGTTGATTATTGTAAACCGTACCCACGCAAGACTTTGTCGTGCGTTCACAACCGATTAAATCGATTTCGGTCACCAGCGGTAAGCTGAAGTTCGAAGAAGAGAATTGTGTGTCGAGCACAAGACTGTGATGTGGGCCACCACCACCGCCTTCTTTTTGATCCGTTTTCGAGATCACCTTATGTGAACGACGAATAATCCGTTTGATTTGCAGCTTCTTGTACAAGTCCTTGAATTGACGGCGGCGAATTTCGGTGCGGCGCTGTTTCGTGTGATACGAAGCAAAAAGGCGACGACCATCTTGGAAAGATTGTGGAAAGACCGTTTTCTGTAAGTTGAAATAAGCAGCTGGTTAAGGTGCTGTTTAAGGAACTTTTTGTGTGCAAAGCTACTTACGGATATGCCTGCCAGTTTTGCCTGTATATAAAACATTTCGGGAAATGGCGAGGCAAACGGATCCGGCAGCTCTTTGAGTACGCCAACATCAACGAGAATAGCATGCTTTTGCAAATACTGTGTAAGAAAAAAGGGAGAGTTTAAAGCGAGATAGAGAGAGAGAGAGAGGGTTTCATAGCTTGCGGCGGCATAATCTTTGTCACCTACCAAATCACACTTGTCACTGCTATTAACCGCCACATATTGTATAGTCCAATTGGGTAGATCCAAATTTATTTGTGTGCAACTACTGAACGACTTCATATTTCCAGCGAATGGCACTATCACTATGCGCTTTACCGTCTCTTCAGGACCGACAGGTGGTACCAAGGCGCGCGCCTCCTGCTGGTGCTTGGCTTCGCCCGCTCTAAGCGGCGCTCTTGCCGCTATGCCAGCTCCCAGTGGCATAGCCGAATTAATTTCACGCAAGATCTTCTGCAGCAAATTCTTGCTGGTTAAGCGCACGCTATCCGGCAGGAATAGCACATACTTAGTGTGTATCGCTGCAAGCGCATTCAACTGCTCGGGCGTTTTTTGCACATCAAAGCCGAGATTGATAAAACGAACGGTATTCTCCTCACCGCTGGCAGTAATATTGCGTTCATACGAAACTGGCGGATAGGGCGCGCCCTCCAATAATACTAATACTGACAAATTGGGCACAATGTCGAGCAGATTGTCAATGGATGCTTTCAGATCGTTTTCGAAATTGTAAAAACTACGAAAAACGATAGTGATAGACTTGCGTATGTGTTTGTTGGCGTTCTTCAGTTTATCACGCGGTGATTTACCGGCGCGCCCGGACGCAGCACTGCCGGCGCCCATTAGCTCATTGTTAGCGGCAGCTGCGCGCTCGGCTGCGTCTGATGGTAGCATGAGTGTGGATGCAAGACTCTTCCAAATCGTCGATTTCCAGGAGTAGTAGAAAAGTATCAGATTGGCTATGACCACTAAGGTTACTATGAGCTTCGCGTGGCGGATGCGCATCACTTTCATGTTGCAACGGTGGGTGTTTGCGAGTTTTGCGAGTGGTTAGAATTCTCTAAACAAAATAAAATATATTCCTATGTGTCACATGCGCCCACTTCAAACCGAGGTCAACTTTAATTTAAGTGGCAACCAAGGTTGCTGTGCAAGTCTGCGGCGGACATTCGAGCCTTAACACACATAATTTTGCTACGAATTTCACGATGTTGCTTCAATATGTATGCATGTACGTTTGTATGTATCCAATATTTAGAACATTCACTAACTACAAATCCATTAAAGTTTCTAGCTCTAAACTAAACTGTATGAGTATTCAACACATTTCCTATTCGGGTAACACTCGCTTTACAAAGTTCATTGACTACGTTTTTATTTACTTGGTGCTACATTTATTTACTAATCATTTGCTAGTTAAATTCAACACAAAACTTACTCGCACTACATATTTTCACACTATGTATATTCAGTTTCTCATTTGACAGGAAACACACATGATGCAAGGATAACGGAATGACAGCTGCTTAGAGGAACGTGCAAAAAAGTTATTTATTGTTATAAACAATGGACATAAGTAGCATAACAGCAGAGCAATAAAATACTGTGTAAATGACAGGACGAAAAGAAACCCAGTATTAAAAGCGTGCTTTAACAAGCTTTAAGCTTAAAGTTGCTGCTGAAGTTTTAAGGATACGCAAGGGATGCTACATAGTGGAGGATGTATTCAATGCGCATATATATGTATGTACATATTTCATATATACTATCCGTAAGTATGTATTTACATGAGCCGTACCACCTTACAAGCAAACAAAAAAGGTTCTTCGTGCACCCCTTGGTCTACAGTACTTTTGCAAGGCAATTTCAAAACTTTTTTTGCCGAACCTAAAGGTTGCCTTTTTACATATTGCGGTGACACCGACATTCGGCAATAACATTTTTTTTAATAGTTATACATACTAGTATATTCGAAATACTTCCTAAGCAAAAGTTTAATGATTTAGGGTTAACGCTAATTTACTGACATTGGGGTGTGATGTTGGGGTGGTAACCACTGAAATCTGGTGGGTAAGTACTAGAACGGGAGCAAACAAAATTTTCTGCCCGAGACAAACTCATCGATATACCGTAAATTGATATCCGACTTTAAATCCTGAATATCTGACGCGAAATGTAAGAAGACGGCTCCTATGTTCGACAGAGAAACAAACATTTTTTTTTTTAAATTACCTTGCAAAAATCCGTCAGATGCGAAAATATTTATTAGTTGCTTGCTGAAACGTAGATAGAAAGATATTTAATAGAGGTATGCCCTGCGGCCAAGAGTTCTATCTAGAGTACCTCATCTAATCCTAGAGAACCCAAAAATTTAAGGAAATCCCCAGGAGTTAGCGATTGTATTAGTTCGTCACTTGACCAGAATTGGCCGAGGTACCTCTCCCGTCTTCTCGTGACATCTTAGTCTACAGTGATGCGTTAGAAATCCTCTTATTATCCTTAACTTTCCTTTGGAGAGATTGTTACACCTGTGTTGATTCCTTAGCCCGTCCTTTCTTTTCTGAACTCTTCCTTGATTGTGCTAGGTCCAATCGCTAGGAAGGGCTCAGGTCCTATAGGCGGCGAGGCGGCTGCCATTCTAGCTAGTCGGTCCGGTTCCTCGTTGCCCGCAACTCCTATGTGACCTGGTACCCGAGTTAATTGGATGTAATTGTACTCCGCCAGGCTATCGAGCTTATCAATGCACTCAAGAACCAAGGCTCAATATTAAAATTCTCATTACGGTAATTTCTACGTAGGTTAATCCCTGTACACAGACTGATGGCATAGACCTCCGCTTGAAAGATACTCGGGTATGCCCCTATGGGTACCGAGAGCTGTAGCCTTGGTCCGTGGACGCGCCTGGCCCAATGTCTTCCGAAGACTTTAAGCCATCTGCGTGCCATTGCAACGAGCTCCATTGCAAATGCCTCTCCATGAGAGAGGTGCTCCAAGTCGACTTGGTGCAAAGCTCTATTTTGAAATTCCTGTCAAAGTTAACCACCTTAGGCTTATCTATGTTCCTTATTAATAGGGTGTTTCCTCTGCCAAAGCCTTCTCTCGCGAAATTTAGTAGAGTTTGCTTTGCAGCCTGTTCTATGGTAAGGTCCAGCGGCTCGAGTTCTAGAATCACCTCCAGCGCTGCCGTGGGACATGTGCGCATTGCCCCCGTAATGCATGCACATGCTAGACGTTGAAGCTTGGTGAAGGATTGCCTTACCGTGGTAAGGCTGGTTCTCGAGACCCAAGCCGCTGCCCCATAAGTGATTATTGGTCCAACTATTATGGTATACATCCACCTCAGGATTTTGGGACTACAGCCCCAGGTCTTCCCTTGCAGACGTTTGCATATAATTAGTGCCCTCGTAGATTTGGAAGTGACTGCGTCAACACACCTTGCGTCAACACATCCCTGCAGGTACTACTACAAGTCATTAAACCATCCAATTGCCATTTTAAGTTTTACAAGAACTTTCGGTTCGCATTCCTTTTCTTCAGCATCTTAACCTCATCGCAATCATGTAATTCTATATCTATCTTCTTTTTTTAAATAATGCTTATCTCTCCTCCTCTTTTGCCGGTGCCGTTCAATTGTCACCCGTATCGCCATTAGCTGCAGGGTGGCTTAGGATGCCGCATATTTCTCTGCAGTAGCGGCGTGGCACTCTGCGTCACACAAATTGTTCCTGTGTGGGTGGAAATAACCAACCGCCTCTTCCGCAGTGGTATGAAGAGATTGAAGGATGAAATCCCACTGCTCATTTATATCCGGGTGATGAAATGTTGCTTGTTTACGCAGGAAGGAGAGACGATTACGAAGCTTCTCCGCTCTTCGTTGTCTTTTCGACTTCTAACCTTCGTAGCGCTGCGTGTTGTGGGTTCTTCAGAATTTTTAGGGCCGTTATGCCATTTTTGCTAATCACTATTTTAACATCATGTGCAGTATTTGTACGCTTTTCCAAAGCCTTCATAAAAATGCTCTTTGGTCTCAGCGTTCTTCTCCTACATAGTTTTTCGATGCTATATATTCCCTTGATATTTACTCGATATCACATGGCACCCATCTGTAGATATCAGTGGAGTGGATACCGAACAACTTAATAGTGATTGTGGATCAAAACTTAAATGCTTTTTAGAAATTTCTTAGCGCAATAGCACATTTGTGATTTGGATTTTAAGAAAACCTCAGAAGCCAATTCGAAAAAACGGGATTACGAGAATAATGTCTAGAACAAACTGCTTAGAGTAGCTAAACGTAGTCCTCGAAAGGGAAAACACTTTTGTTTTAAATATATCACACCATAAACATTTATTGGCACATTTTTTTCTGCCTAATACCAGTCAAAAATACATGTACAGAAATTCTTATTTAAAAATATACATATAAAATATTTATTATATCATCACGTTTAAAACATATATATATTTTCATATACATACACATATATACATATACATAATAATAATAATAGATTGGCGCTTACACATATGTTAGTGTTTGGCCAAGCTTCTCCTCCAATTTGTGGCGTGCGCCTTGATGTTGTCAGACAAGGCGGAGGGACCTACAGTTTTACGCCGACTCCGAACGGCGATTGTATTTTTATGAGAAGCTGTTTTTCCTGGCCGAAATACACTCGGAGGTTTGCCATTGCCTGCCGAGGGACGACCGCTGTTAAGAAAAAACCTTTTTCTATATTTTTTGCTATGTTGCTTTGACCAGGGCTTGAACCCAGGTGCTGGTGAGTGAAAGCGCGCACTGCTTACCACTACGCCACAGCGGCCGACATACATATGTATATAACCTGAATTTTATTTCAATATAAAACTCGGAAATTTTGCATAATCAGCCAGTAGCAGCCGCCGGTCTAAGATACCATTTAAAATGTTCGAGCTCTGATTCCGTACTTTCTGATTCGCGTATGCGATCTATGTTTCAGAAAATTTATTAATATTACTATAAATTATGCGTACTTTTTTATTAAAAAAAATTTATGAAATAAAATCGTTAACATTTTTTTTTTTGTTTTTACAAGTTATGCGGTGTTTGAAGCCGTTTTTACAGCATTTTGACTACAAGAAAAT